GAGTCATGTATTACTTTAATATCTTTAGAATAATATCATTAGTTATGATTTCCTAACAATATGGCAAAGGCACAGATTGTTTCAAGCTTAAATTATTTTAGAATGAGGTAAGAAGCATTCCATACATTAGAACAGAAAGAGTCTAATCAGAAGCCTGCATATCTGTGTAATAATTGAAGAGGAACATGAAGAACTTGCTAGAAAGGGCAGAAGGTCAACGCTTTACGATTATTGCTATAATGTGATATGCTTTATCAGTGTTATTAACAAATATCTATCGGTATAACTGCAAAATATTCTGTATGCAATATATTTATTTATTTTTTATGCATTTAGTAAGGGTCTACAGGGTCTCACCACACAGATCAGACTCGTAGTGATCCTCCTGTTTTAAGCCTCCTGAGTGCTGGGATTACAGGTGTGTGACAAGACTCCCAGTCTCAGTTGCCATCTCAGTGCGCCCTGAGGGCGGGGCTGGCATGGCACACTGGGGATCCAACCCTGGTCCCTGCACCTGCCTAAGCAGGCACTTTAGTCTGCTGAGCTATCTGGCTGGCCCCTGTATGCAATTTTTAATTAATTAATTAATTTATTAATTTATTGCGGTACCAGAGATTCAACACAGGACCTTGTGCTTACCAGGTGAGTGCTTATTCTACTGAGCTATCTCTCTGGACCCCAGTATGTAATTTAGAGTCAAGTAATTTTACAGTATAAATAACTCCTGCAAAGATTTACATATCTATATACCCACATATGTATTTTTGAGAAACTAAAACTACACATTAAAATATGTATCAACTGGGCTGGGGAGATAGCTCAGTGGTCTAAGTGCCTGCCTGGTAAGTTCAAGGACCTGAGTTTGATCCCTGGTGCTGATACTGGTACTGGGGCTGGCATGATAACAAATCTTTACTTCTAAGGTCAATTGAAATGTATATCTTATTTGTAATGAAACCGGGCATGCCCTGCGAACCCCAAAAACTAGACATGCCTGTAATCCCAGTGCTGGTGGGGTTGAGACAGGAGGATCACCGTGAGTCTGGGCTGCATAGTTAAGCCCTGTATCAAATAAATAAATAAATAAATAAATAAATAAATAAATAAGTGATTTAAAATGTATCAACTAAAATAATATACTAATTAATATGGAAATTTTGATATTTCAAATATATATACACAATATTTAAAATAATTCTACTTGTTAGAAAATGTATATAAGACTTGCACTTTCAATTTTTTTTCGAATTTAAATATAAAATAACTTTGTTATAATAAGCTAAAGTCTAACTGCTATTGAAGTAGGTAAACATAAAACATTTTAATGCTATACCAGGTTAATGTTTCAGGCTTGCAAATGATTTTAGACTACTCAAATATATTTTGTTTCTGGTTTACCTTTCCTTGATTGATGTAAGGTAAGAAAATGTAAAAGGGGGGGCTGGGGACACGGCTCAGTGGAATAAATGCTTCCCTGGCAAGTGCAAGGGCCTGAGTTCAATCCCTGGTTCCGCAAAAAAAAAAAAGAAAAAAGAAAGAAAATGTAAAAGGAATTAATATGTTAAAATTATAAATATTCTCTAAATTATTCAAGAAGTTTAGTTGGAGTAAATTTGTAAATAAACTGAAAGTGTGATGGGGTAAATTGCTTTTATATTAAGCCATTACTTTTGTGATGGCTTATTTCAGCAGCAAAGGAGAGCGGGATTTCTTACTGTGTTCGCTACTTTTTACTTATTGCTGGGACAAAATACCGACACCCAAAATGAAGGAAGGAAAGGTTTACTTAGTTCAGTTTGTG